ATGAACATGGTTATAGAAATAACTTGAAAATAGCACTTTTCGCATGATCAACTGAAAGGGGTCGTGGCGAGCGCGCCGTGCGCCGCCGACGGCGATAGGCCGTCACCCGACCGATTCAACTTATCCCTCGGCAACTCAAGACCGATTCAACATGAAATATCATTATGAGCCTATCAAGACATAAATCACACGGATGAACTTAATCGAAACTGAAAATAACTTAACATGGCATGCTGTAGGCCGTGGCCGTGCGCGATGTGCGCTGCCAACAGCCGAGAGCCAATTCATGAATAAAACACCATATTGCCTCGACCAACATGGACCAACTGAGCATGAAATGATCTAAACTGAACAAATAAACATGAATTGTACGAGAGTTGCCGGGTAAAACAAGAAGTTACTCGATCACGGTTCAACTTAGGCATATTCGAACTTTAACACGGCACTACTAGAAATTCTTGAACATGACTCGAACACTTCAGCCTAAAATGAACTTCTGGCCATAAAAATAAGTCGAGGATGATTATACCTTCTTAAGTGCTCGACGAATCTCGCAAGCCGATCGCGATCTCTGTTAATCCTCGCGTGCGCCCGTGTGTACGGTACACTGCCGTACGATGCGATGTTCTTGCCATGCGTTGTGCTATGGAAAACTTAGGATAATATGTTGATCTATTTGCTGCTGAATATAGGGCTGAATGATACGGATATATGGCTGAAATTTGGGACAAATTTCCCAAACATCTTCCTTATATATAAAGGGCCGAATGGAGGTCACAATTTAGGGTGATGATGCATGATGGATGTGGCCTTCTTGGCTTTAGACATTTGTTAGCTAATGGAATAATTATTGATGACTAATCCTCTAAAAATGCTCCTCTAATGACACGTATTTAGGCTTCAAAATAGGAGGAAAAGTCATTCTTAAGACTTAGGAAAATGTTTAAGATTTGAAACCAAATGCTCCATTATACATTCGGCTTTATTGAATTTGATTGGAATCATATCTTAAACTCACGACTAAACACCCTTTGATTGTGATTAATTTATATTAATCACTTAACTTATGTTTAATTATTTAATTAAACATAATACTTAATTACCAAAATTATTCCGAACGTAAACGGTACGTCGAAATTAATTTTTGGTAATCTCGACTGAACATAATTAATTCCGACAATAATAATTAATAACATTATTATATCGGAACTAAAAACATAATTTATACTGACAAAATATCGGGATATTACAGCACGGGCGAAGGCATCAGGCATCTAGCGATACGTGCAGGCTGGCAGGTACTTTTTGAAAATTAGATAAGCCTTGGGGACTTATCTATGATTTTATAAGTTTTATTATATTGCACTTAGTATTTGAAGTAAATTTATAATTCAATAAAAGTTCAATACATGTACAACAATAATACACAAAATGCACAATAATATTGCGTGAGGATATGCACATTAAAAATCCATCATATTTTTATGAATTTACTTAATTGTAAACGCCTACAAAAAAGTTAAAAAAATTTACCAAAATACTACCGCACTACAGATTGCACAGATTCAAACGAAATGCATATTAAAGTCTGTGAAAATGCATAATAACGTTACAGTGTATTCTGTACAATAACTAATTTGCCCCCACATGAAAAATCTATAGTACCCATAATTACAAAAATGTCACTGTCCATTTGACCAGTGGTGCTGCCTTTGATCGATCTGAAGGTTAATATATATCACATCTAACTGATCTAATCTATTTATACTTCTTTCACTATCACTCATTATCATTTTATCCTAACCTTTATAAAGTTTAGTAGTGGTGCCAATAGTTAGTGACTTCATAATGAAGTCAAACATGTATACACAAACATAAAGAAAGTACCATATACTCTAAACTACACAGATACAATAGAACTGAGAAAGAATCACAAGTTCTCTAACAAAACTATTATATTGCATAAATATGATAGAATTGATAAAGAATCAAAAACAAAAATAAAACAAAACATCTATGCATGATAGATCCAAAAGGGGAAAAAGTAAGAAGTGAAAATTATCTACCTATAGAGAAAATGATCGATTTTTTAATGTTTTTATAAATAAATAGATAAATAATACAATTGTAATTTCTTTGAATAATAGAGCATTACTATAGTTAGAGACCAATTAATTAATTAACACACACATCAATCTTTATTTTAGAATAAAAAAGAAAAACTCGAATTATAAAATTTTGCTTCAGAAATGATCTTTGTTTCAAATTCAACTAATGCAAAATTTTGATCCCCTGCCCACGGTGGGCAGTGCCCACCACTTTGTTTTATATGAAAAACGTATTCTGAGAATACGTTTTTCAATTAATTTAATTGAAAAACGTATTCTCAGAATACGTTTTTCATATAAAACAAAGTTACTGCCCACCATGAGCAGGTGAGCGGAACTAAACTAATGCATAGCTTATCCGATGCGTGAGACAAATATGTTAAATCACTCATTTTGATAGTGTATGTCTGTTTATTCCCAAAAATAATAGATTCGATCATCAATTTTTTACCTCAATTAATTAGTGTTTTTTTAGCCATAATATTAAACATGAGTGTGCCTGTACGTCAATTAACATATTAACCCAAAATATGTTTATACTAATTCAAATTTTATTTTAGTATGTATATTTATTTTCTTGATAAATACGTAACAATTTACTTATTCTTTTTTTTTTTTATTTCGAAACGACAGAGATTTTTATAAATAAAACGTAAACTTGTGCAAAGATA